TGGGGGCTCTGCTGTAGGGTGGGGAGGGGGAAGGCTGGGGGGGTCCAGACAGAGCTGGGGGAGGGGACCCAGGGCCTGGCTACAGTGGGGGTGGGGTGACCGCGGACCAGCCTACATAAGCAACAAACCGTGAAACTGTAACATACCTGTTTAATAGGGCGAGATCCCATGAGGAGATCTATGGGGAAGGGCATGGGGGGAAGTTGTGTTGGGGTCACTGTTGTGACGTAGATGCACACTTAGCCCCTCCACACCCAGACGTGGCCGGAATCGGGGGCGGTCATTTTTAGAGGACCCCATAGCCAGAGTCAGAGTCCAGGGAGGACGAATTGTCAGGGCGGCTGCTTTGCAAAAGGCCATGTGCCCTGGGGTAGGTCAGGAGAAACTGAGTCACGGAAGGAGAAAGCAGGCTGGGTTTCCCCCCCGGGCTCTGCAGAATTTTTGAGGCTGGTTAGTGCTAGTGTTAACTCTCCTTCAGGGAAACCCTGGCGGTGTTCATTACAGAAAGGGGCAATTGGTTAGCTGACTAGCGAACTGATTTCAGCAGCGAAGGTGAAAAGAGCCTGCCGGGATTCCAGCTTGAGAGTTTGACAAGCAAGTGGAGAGAAGATGTAGTCGCCGTGCTTTTGACTCAGCTAAATGTAGAGATTTTGGTGAGCAAAGACGGTCACTGAGCCTCAGGTGAACTGAACTCTTGAGTTTCTTCTCACTGTGTTTCTGTGCGGACTGACTGGCTTAGATTGAATCTTTGTTTATCTTCAGTTTTATATTAAAAGAAATAATGTAGGTGGTTTATAAAGTAGCCAGATCATAGGCGCCGACTTCCCCTCTGGTTGGCGGGTGCTCCACACCCCCTCTGCCTCCGCCCCCACTCCACCACCTTCCCCAAGTCCCCATCTTGCCTCTTCCCGCCCCTGCTCTGCCCTCGCCCTGCCCCTATTCTGCCTCTTACCTCAAGCCCCCGGCCCTGCCCCACCTCCTCCCCTGAGCGCACCACGTCCCCGCTCCTCCCCTTCCCTCCTGGAGCATCCTGAAGTTCCTGAACACAGCAAAACAGCTATTTTGTGGTGGGCGGGAGGCGCTTGGAGGGAGGGGGAGGAGTTGGTCAGTGGAGCCGCCAGTGGACAAGATGCGCTGGAGGGAGGGGAGAGATTGGCTGCCAGTGGGTGCTGAGCACCCGCTAATTTTTCCCCATAGTTGGCACCTAGGAGCCAGGTTATGTTGTATAAATGAAGTTATTAGTTTTATTATTGTGTTTTCTATCATTATCAGGCTTTATAAAGTTGATACTGTTAGGTATAAATAAGTAAGGAATGTTAGTACTGTTTAATATGTTCAATTAGTTGTTTTAATAATGTATTTCTGAGGTAATGTTAACTGAATCACTGGCTTTAATAGACTCCAATATGGAGTATATGAACTATGACCCCTGGACTCCATCTCTGTAAGCGGACTTGTTTACAACTTAGACACTGGAGTCCTCTGGCTCAAACCGGACAGAACCGGCTTTTCCCGCCAGAGCCAGCCCCCAACATTCTGTCCCCTCAGAACTTTTCCCGCCAAAAAGGCTATATAAGCGCTTGCTCAGCGCCGGCGCGGGGCCGTCCATTCCAGCGGCTGCACGTGCACGGTCGGGTCTTTCCAATGCTCCAGCGCTAGAGAGAAGAAGTACCATCTATCCCGCAGTGGGGTAGAGGAAGGAGAGGCCTGTCATCACTATCCCCGCCACAGCGAACCAAATCCATTTTACCCGGTCCTGCTTTCCTGGTGTCCATCATCCCATAGGGTCTCCCCACCTGCGACAAAATCCAAGTCGTCAGGTCTCCCCAGTGGTCCTCCTCGAAGGCTCTAAATCAGCCGGAGAGTAGAAGGTCCTGGGCCTCGCACCTGTGCGCTGTGTCCACTGCACCTCAATCCTAGGAAAGGTTTCTGTGTTGGGGTTTCATTTCTTGTTTTCCTGAATGCCAAGGGAGGTTTTGTGGGTCTGAGCGTCAAGCTCCTAAAGCCAGTCACTGAATCACTGTAGGGTTAAGTTTGTGTTTCTTCATTCCCCATTTTTCCGAACCTGTACCTTGAATACACTTACCTTTGTTTGCACCATATTACTTTGTCTTTGCTTCATTTTTATTACATCCCACAGGGAGGGAGGAACACCCTTATTGTGAGCTAAATCCACTGGTGACAGACATGGAAGGGAGCCAAGTCTGCTCTTCTCAGAAAAGTGGCTTTCCTTTTCTATCTTCCCCCACCATTTCTCGAGTATTTTCTCTCTGAAGCGTTATTTTAAGTTCCATCCGTCTTGTTCTTTTTCCAGATTTGAATGTGGGGAGGCTGACCTGTGCGATCCTCACTGAAACCCCCCAGTGACTGAATTCTGGGTCTCCAGGTGCTTTTCCCTGGGAGGCGTTTTTAGGGATGAGGAGGAGAGCAGGGACGCAAACTCTAGCCCTCACAAAGGTTACACCACCCTTTAGTGAGCGATTTGTGCAGAAAGCAGCAGAGGGCACCAGAGACCTTCCTCTTCCAGCACCATGGGCAGCGTGCACCTTGGGCCTCATTTTAGTTGAAATCAGGCTTTTTCCGTTCTCCAATTTTCACCAGAATCAACAGGGAGATTCCCTGGGATTTGGGAATGGATCAGAGGTGGCTTTCAAAAGTTGTGTTGCAGCCAGAGACAGAAAGGCCATCTGGTTGGTCCCCTCCCAGAGCCTGGGATAGAACCCAGGAGTCCTGGCTCCCAGCCCCCCTAACCCTCCCAGATAACAGGGAGGGCTGCCCCTTGAAGGCCAGCCAGTCCGCCCTGTTCACATGTATTTTATCATCCTTTCTAACAACTCAAGTTGGAAACACACCAAAATGTGGCCTACTGAAAACAGCTATGTAATTAAAATGAAACCATGGCCACCAAGTAAAAGCATAAAAACTATGCACCAGAGGCCAAGTTTAATAACCTACTCCTACCAGAGACCACTACAGCTTTAGGGAAAGCGGCTCTGAAAAAAATAAAGCAACTGACAAAACACTAGCATGCTACGGGCTCTTGCAGTTCACAAAACTATCCCTCTCGCATGTGTGTTATCTGCGCACACAGCTCAGCTTTAAGATGCTAAACAGAGCTATGAGTCCACTAGAAATAGTCACGCTCTCCTCGCAAATATCCTGAATATTGTCTGATACTGGAAAGGAGAGTAAAAGGTATTCACTCAGCCTTACACAATTTCTCTGGGTCGTCAGCTCTTCATCTGATGAATACTGCACACGGAGAACAGTAAAAATAAGGAATCAAGGAACACAGACAGCAAACCAGTCCACAAACAAACACGTGACAACACTGAAAATACAAAGGGAAGGAAAACATCAAGTGGTTGGTGATGGGTATTTTAAATGAGGGTCTGGGACCCATACTGTGGAAGGGCAACAGAGCCCTGTACAGGCTAGTTTCAGATTTTGTGTGTGTGTGTGTGTGTGTGTGTGTGTGTTTCACCAACTCAAAAACTCAGAGTAGAAGCCCTGGAGCACATTGGCACATGGCTTCGGAGTTTGCAGATAGATCCCTGCTCCACAGAGCTTGCAAATAAGGTCTTCATCCTCCAAGTATCAGGGGGCAGCTGGGTTAGTCTGTATCCACAAAAACAACAAAACACGTAAGCACCACAACTAGTGCTTGCTACTTACGAGTCAATGGGAGCCCTCGGAAGAGCCGGAACTATACCAGATAGCAAAGATCTGGCCTTAATGGTTTCCAATACCGCTCCCCAAACTAATTGTAAAACTTCATGGCCATCACTTGTCTGGAATCCAGCTCTAATTGAAAGGCTGAACAAATAAACAGCATGCGTGGTAAAGTTCTTCCCATTTTAACAATTTACCATATATTAATTAGTAACATGGGATATTTTTAAAAAATCATTAGGATCACAGTTTTCAGCTGTGTATAACACTCCAAAAGAATTCTGTTGTTCAAAGAATCTGACCCGCTCCGCCTTGGAGCCCCAGGTAAGCGCCGCAACCCCCATCCCCCTCCCAGAGCCTGCACCCCCTCCCCACATACCTCCTCCCACCCCGAAACTCCCTCCTAGAGCCTGCACTCTGCCCCATACACCCCCGGACCCCAAACTCCTTCCCAAAGCCTGCACCCCCACCCCTTCCCCAAGCCCCTCCCAGAGCCCGAACCCGCTCCTCACATACCCCCTCCCACTCCTTCCTAGAGGCTGCACCCCCACCCCTTCCCCACATACCCCCTCCCATAGCCTGCACCCCATCCCCACAGCCCCCAGTCCCCAAACTCCATCCTAGAGCCTGCACCCCCACCCCCTGGCCCACAGGTCAGTGTCCGATTCTCCCTTGCATCTGTGTCAGGAACCACAGATCTCAAAGAGTTTCGGAGGGGTTGCCGTGTTAGCGTGTATCAGAAAAAACAACGAGGAGTTCTTGAGGCACCTTAGAGACTAACACATTTATTTGGGCATAAGCTTTCGTGGGCTAGAACTCACTTCATCGGATGCATGGAGTAGAACATACAGTAGGGAGGTATAAACACACAGCACATGACCAGATGGGAGTTGCGTTACCGAGTGGGGGGGTCAGTGCTAACGAGCTAATTCAATGAAGGTGGAAGTGGGCGACTCTCAAGAGTCAACAAGACTCAAACGCTGGCCCACAGGGCGCTTAGGAGCTCATCAGTCCGAACCACCACCCAGTGTCCTGCTCACGCTGCTAGAATAGCCGCTGAAGGGGAGCAGAGGACTCCAGTCCTGGGCTCTGATTGGTGGAACCCTGGGGGGGCCCGACGGGTCCTGAGCCTCTGTGTCCCCCAAGCCAAGGGGCAGGACGTTGTCTGTGCAGCTGGGTCCTCCCTGCTCAGCTCTGCTTCCCCTGCGATACCTGCCCCTGATCTCCTGGGAACCTCTCCCCACCTGACGCCTGGTTTGCCCTCTGGTCAGTCCCCCCCCCCCGCCCCCAGCCCCTTCAGCCAGGCCTCACCCTGCTCTCCCCTCCCCCCAGCCCCTTCAGCCAGTCCTCTCCCCTGCTCTCCCCCAGTTGAGGGGTCTCTCCCTGGCCATTGGCTGCGTCCCTCTCCCATAAGGGGGCTCCCTCCTTCCTTGGTGGGACCCCCCACACTCCACACAGAGTTGTCTTCCTAGGAGCATAGAGACCCAGTCTACAGCACCTCACAGAGACCTCCACAGCCAGAGATACGGGCAGAGCTTCACCCCACCTCAGCACTGTCTGTGCCGTGGCGGGAGGGGGGGGGGGAAGACTGGCTGAGTCCTCCAGGTCAAAGAGATCAGGGGGGTGGGGGCTAGAGGAACCTGATTCATGGGAACAGACAGGGAACCTCAGGGACACAGGGTGAGCCGCATACTAACACCAACAACACAGAAGAACGGGCGGATTCTCTCCCCAGCGAAAGAGGCCGGCGGGAAAGTGAATATCGGGTCCCCGGTACCAGCATCGAAAAAGGCCACCTTCCCCTGTTCATAGTCCAGATGAACCTGGATCCTGGGGGGTGCCCGGCTCGGGGACAAGGGGATGCGCTGCTCAGGGGACGTGAGAGCCCAGTACTGATCCTCACTGCACGACACAGCCCAGATCCCCTGCTCAGGGTTAAAGCTGATCTCTCCCTTCCTGCTCACAGACTCTCGGGCCACCCCCACAAAACAGAATCCCCACCCCTCCACCTCCACCTCCCAGGTATGTCTGCCCGAAGTGAATCCCTCACAGCCCATCACACAGAAATCAGCGTCAAATCTCTCAGGGTTCTCGGGCAGATCCTTCTCTGTCTCCCCCCATCTCATACTTCTCCGATCCGCAGACACGGTGAGTCGGTGATTGGCCGTGTCTGGATCCAGGGTCACGTTTGCTGCAGAGAGAGAATCAGAGCGTGAAGGGCAGAGCTCAGCCCTGGGGCAGGGTCTGAACGTGTCAGTGACAGAACCTGCCCCAGCTGGGGAGTGACTCAGGCAACCTCTTGCCTCCAGGATTTACCCAGCTCTGCCTGGGGAGCAGCGCTGAGATCTCAGCCATGTGCCGGGGAGATTCACACCCTTGATAGAGCCAGTTCAGTGACAGAGTGAAAGGATCAGCTCAGCTGAACCAGGCCGCGAGACCCAGACTCTGAGTCTCAGTTATTCCATCCTTGTGCTTGGGGGAAAGACAAGGAGGGTTAGGGGGAGGTGGGTTTAAGCCACCTTTGTCCTTCCTTTAGTCTCCCTGGACCCTAGTTCCAGGGGCCTCAGGGCTGCAAAGCAGAGAGCAGCCAAGTGTGATGCATCCTGTCTATGCTCCCAGCAGAGCTGTCCCTTGGGGAGGGCGATTTGGGGCAACCGCTCCAGGCCCTGCACTTTGGGAGGGCCCCATGGGCTAGTGCGATTGGCTGGCGCGGTCAGTCCCAGAAGTGACGAATCCCCCTAGTTGCTGAGGAGTCCCTGTGCCAACTTCACACGGAGTGGGGGAGGGGGTGGGGGGGCTCCCTTGCACCGGAGCTATTTTCTAGGGACTGTTTCCAGGCACATTAAGGCCCCTTTGCTCTGACAGAGCAGTGTAAAAGGGCCTGACAGTCAGGCCCTGGAATCTTTCCCCACCTGCACCCACCTCTCCCCACAGATGTGATTAGACACCCTGGCATCATAGGAGGCTCCCAGCAGATTACAGGGAATCCAACGTCCCCCTGTCCCATGATGCGACTCGTCACACCCCGTCTCCTTGCAGAGCCCCCCCCCCAACGACTCAGCCAGCTGAGCACTAGGGAAACTGCTTTTACAGAGACCCCTCTGGCCCCCCAGGACTGTGTGTAGCTGCGGGGGGGGGGGGTGAGGACACCGCACACTTACTGAACGGCTGCTCGGCTTGTGCTGGGCTATCGGGGACTTTCCAACCTCCGCACTGCTGGCCCCAGGGCTATTCAATGTCT